TCATTTGAAAAAGTGCTCCACCCATTCCTATTTGAAATACTAAAAAAAAAAAAAAAAAACTCCAAAAAATTAGGAAATAAGGGAACTTACCTCAACATTGTAAAGGCTATATATGACAAACCCAAGACCAACATTATACTGACTGGAGAAAAACCGAAAGCATTTCCTCTAAAAACAGTAACAAGACAAGGATGCCAACTTTCACCACTCCTATTCAACATGGTCAATGAAACCCCAGGCAGAACAATCAGGCAAGAGAATGAAAATAAAGGGAAACAAATAGGAAAAGAGGAGCTCAAATTATCTCTGTTTGCTCATGACATGATCCTATACCTAGAAGAACCCCCCCCCAAAAAAAATCTTCTACTAGAAGATTTCTAAAGCTCATAAATGAACTTATAGCAGCAAAATATAAGATCAACACTCATAAATCAATGATATTCCTATACTCCAATGATGAGTCTACTGAAAAAGAAATTAAGAAAACTATTCCATTCATAATAGTCTCAAAAATACTTGGAAATCACTGTAATATTATTTTTAAACTTAATGAGATAATGGGCTGAGGGTATACCTCCATGGTAGAACACTTGCCTAATATGAACTAGGATTGGATTCAATTCTCAGCACTACATAAAATAAAATAATAAAGTTGCATAAAATCATACTATTAAAAATGAAATGACTAAAGAAGTTGTATAAATACTTAAACTTAATAATATTATGATCTTATCAGTAAAGGAAATTCCAGTTTTGTAGCATACTAACATTTAAACTTCAAGGAAACTGAAAATTTATGGATCTGATTCTGTTACTATCTATCTAGCTTTGTGATTCTCAGAACTTCAGTGAATCTCTCTGCCTGTATTTATTTAAGATAAGATAAAAGGTTTGGTTCAAACAGACCATGACTTATTTTTCTAAGTAAAATTTTCATTCGGAGATCATTTTAGGCTTAGATTCATTTAAAAAAGAACACATACAGGTCCTGTGTATGCTATATCTGGGTTCTCCCAATGGTAACATATTTCAAAAATCTACTTAAAAACACAACCAGGATGTTGACAATAAATAGTCAAAATGCAAAAATTCTATCTCTTATCTTGCTGTTTTGTACTTATACCCTCTTACAGCTTGTTCTCAGACTTTCTTTAATCTTCTGGCAAACACTAATCTATTTTCCATTTCTATGATTTAGTAACATTGAGAATGCTATAGAACAGGAATCATGGAACACATAAGCTCTGAGAACTGAATTTTCTCATTCCTTATTTTCTGGGAAGTCATCAGTGAGCTGTTATTGTATTCACAGTTCATTCCTTTTTATTGCTCCGTAGTGTTCCATGATTACAATGTACCAGAGTATTTAACTATTCAGCCATTTTCTGTGGTGTTTGTAGATTTTTCCCATTATGAATAAGCTGTTATAAATCTTTGTGTATAGGTTTTTGTGTGAGCATTTTTTTTTTTTAAAGAGAGAGTGAGAGAGGAGAGAGAGAGAGAGAATTTTTTAATATTTATTTTTTAGTTCTCGGCGGACACAACATCTTTGTTGGTATGTGGTGCTGAGGATCGAACCCGGGCCGCACGCACGCCAGGCGAGCGCAATACCGCTGAGCCACATCCCCAGCCCTTGTGTGAGCATTTTAAGTCTTAGGTTCTCTTAAAATTTTTTTCAAATAGTGCATATGATAGTTGCATTTTTAGTTTCTATGAAATCGACAGGCTGATTTTATCCAAGAGTCTGTAGCATTTGGTACTTTAATTGCAGCTTTAATTGTGTAGTAAGTTACTTCTCGTTTTCATATCGATTTGCATTCCCCCAATATATAACTATTGTTAACATCTTTTCATGCACCTACTTGCCAATTTTCTATCCTCTTCAATAAAATGTTTTATCTTTCAGTCTTTTGCCAGTTTTCTAATTTGATTATTTTTATACTGTAGGTTGTCAAAAGTTCTGTATGCTAGACCTTTGTCTGATAAACACTTTGCCAATAGCTCTTGTGAGTTTATTTCTGTGTTCTTTACTCTGTTCTATGGACCTATTTATCTATCCATCTACCAAAACTACAGTATTTTGGAGTAATACTTTTTGGATTTCACTGGATTTTTTAAAAGTATAGGTTTACGTTATTTGCTAAATTTGGGGAGTTTCCAACCATTTATTTCTTTGAGTGCTTTTAGAAGGCACAGCTGCCTTCTTTCTCCTCTCTTTCCAGGACTGGAAGGTCATACAAATGTTGGACATTATGTTACAGTCCCACAGGTCTCTCGGGTTCTGTTTCATTTTGTTTCTTTTGGGGCCCTTCTGTGTGTGTGCATGCAGACAGGCACATTCATGTGTGTGTGTGTGTGTGTGTGTGTGTGTGTGTTATTATCTACTTATTATGTCTGAACTGTTTAGAATGGGTATTTTCTATTTGTCAGACTTACAAGTCACTAATTCTTCTGATTTCTATTTCTTTGTTTAGGTTTTTTATTTCTTAATAAGACTTTCTATTTCTTCAGCTGTGCTTGTAATTGTTCATTGTCCCACATTTTATGTGGGTAGTTTTAAAATTTTTGTCTTATAATTCTATTATCTCTGCCATAACGGAATTGGGGAATCTATTGGTTCACTGTTTTTCATTTAGTTTAAGATGGTTTTGTTTCTTGGTGTGAAGAAAGGTTCTCAGTTGAATCTTGGATATTTTGGATTCTACTAGGTTATGAATTCTAGAAAACATTTAAGTCTTCTGTTTTTGATGGTTTCCTATGACACACACCAGCAGGGAAGTGAGGGTGGAAAAGCCCTGCCTCATAATTCCCTGGAGGGGACAGAGGTTCACTCCCTCTTCAGTGACGGTTCACCATGGAAGGAGTGAGACTCATGAACATGAATAGATAAACACAGTGATGGAAATCTAAACTCTTGGATTTTTGTCCAGATTCTGTTACTACTTAACTTTGTAAGTTGGGGAAACTAAAGGTCTCTGGCCATGATTTGTTAAAATAAGAGGAAATAATTATGCCATTAAGTTATCAAACATTTTTTAAACCTATCAAATCACACTCATCATTTTAATTAGAGCCAATTAAATTTCATAGAGAATGATACAATAAAATTAAGGAAACATTTCCTCTTTGAGCTCATGAAGCTGATACCAACTTGTGATTTGAGAGATATTTTGCACACTTGTTTTCAAAACCCAGGCTTGCATCTACCTGTAGCACAACTGCTTGCTATTTTTATATGAGATGTAAGAATATTTTAAAGTCACCTCTTACGATTCTTATGTACACAAACTGATTGTGAATCACTGCTTTCACTTTAATAAATTGTCAAACTTCAAGAAAAACTAAATTTGATATGCTATTTCCAAAAAGAATAGTAGGCAAAAGGAACAGATTCTAGTAATCAATTATAAAAATTTATGATTGAGAAGAAATAAGGTCTTCTATTTAAAAGATATGACTATACATTTTGGCAAACATTTTATGAGCAAGTAGCAGATTTGGATGGATATCATAGAAAGGTATAACAAGTGTACACATATAAAGAAGTATGATATGTATAATTAATTATGATTATAACATTACAGGGGACCCCAAGGAAGTGTATTTTTATGGGTACGAAATGAAAGACAAGTGAGTTAATTGTTTAGTGCACGTGGTAAAAGGTTATTATGTTTTACACACAGAAGATATTCAACAAATATCAACTTTAATCTTTCCAATCACATAGAGAAAAACATCTGCAAATAATCATGATTATGAAACACTTGAAATATGTAAATGTAATGCATTAATTCGAGAGGATAAATTTCAAAAGCAATTTGAGTTTCATACAAAATATCTTTTTGTGTATATAATAGTGTTTATATGAGTAATCATATTTTTCAGATGAGATGTTCCATAATATCCACTGGTTCTTAAAATGTATTATTATACCAAGTAGGTTAGCACATTAGCTTGCCTTTTTAAAGCTCTAATGTTTAAAAGATACAGAAAGAAAAAAAAAACTTGAGCTACTTTTGGTAAATTTTCATCTTGAGTTTTTCCTTAAGGATAATTTATGGAGCATCTGTGGTCCACCTGATGCAGAAATTACATATAAATAGAAAGGCATTTGTTCTCAAGAAGATCACACTCTAACACTAGAGATAAATGACACAATATGATAGTGAAAATAGCAAATAATGAACTAAGTTTTATGTCCTTTTTAAACCAATAATATTGAGAATAAATATTCTTCCTTCATTGAAGAAAATGACTGCAATGTGCACTTGCAACACATATTTTAAGTTTCACAGAAGAACTCAGATTAGATTATGATTAGAATTAGTCTATGCTTTTAAAGCAAGACACAGGATTTTCTTTAAGATTCCAGATAATTGATGAATGGTTGCCTGATTTACCTCTTGGAATAGCCTAACTGGCCTTACTGAGAATTTTAGATTAAATTCAAAGCAAGCACACTCACATGTACACACAATCTTACTACCTTTCATTACATTAAATATCTGAATGACAGACATCAAGAACCAAATATTTAAGGTATTAGAGAATTTTTTAAAGGAGCCATGCAGATTTTATTTCATGGACCTTAGAATACTATTCTTCATGAAATCTATCACATTCTAGAAAAACTTAAAAAAAAAAAAACAACAACAACAAAAAATAGTTTCTCACCATTACTCTTTGCATTATGTCCATATTGCTAAATATTTTTTGAGATTAAAATTACAAATGACTGATTACAAGAGATATAAATGCACAGCACAAGTAGGACTGTTGTCCTAACAAAAGAAATTTGCATGCAAGCTTTTCCTCATGAACATAAGAATTTAGTTAAAGATGAAATCCTGAAGGATATTCTCATGACAGGATGAATCTATTAGTGTACTTAAGTATTTACAGGCCTTATTCACTTCCAAATACTTTATTAATGTCGGAAACAAGGCAATTCCTGGCTTGTAAAATGGAACAAACCACCCTAAAACATCTGGCATACTTACACACTTTTCGCTGTCAAACACATAGCACAAATGTTTATTTGACTCAGAATCTTTGCATATGAAAGTGAATATCCTCTTGTCAGTTTTATCATCTGCACAAAATGATATTCTATGAAGCTGGCAATTGTGTTGGACTTCCTGTGAAGACAGATGGAAATAAATACTGTTGATGGCAATTTTTTTCTATTTTCTGAAACACCAGCATGTGTTAATAACATATAACTTAAGACTTGAAAAGTGTAATAATCATCTGTTAAGCTTTAGTTTAACAATTACATATACCCCAAATTTAAACAAACATGCAATGTAAATGAACCTTCTGACTCAGGATTAAACTAAGATATTCATTTCAATAGTACTCAAAAAAACACAAGAATATAAGAGAATCTGAGTCCCACAGACTTCCAGAGCTTCAAAGCATCTTAAGAGACCATATACTTTAAATCCTTCATGTTTATACAGGAGAACTTTGAGGCTCAAAGAGATTAAGATACTTCAAAAAAGAATTACCCTAACCTTTTTTTTTAATCCCAAATTCTTTTCATTTTATGTCATTGCTACTAACTAGCATTACAATTAGAACATAACCTCATCTGGAGAAAAATTTCACCCAGAACATACCACCATTTTCACTCCTAGTTTTTTTAAATTGAATTTTATTTTGCATATCTTCATAGTAATTCATACACTCCTGAACTGTTTATGTCTAGGTAGGTCAACCTTGCAAATTATGCAATGTTCTCAATGGGAGAGGATTCAAATGACTACATCAACCCTGCTAATTGGTAGAAAGACAAATAACTGCAACCAGACATAGAGCTGCAGTACACTTAAGTGCACACACATACAGACATATATAATTATGTCTGAATTATAAAACTCATGCAAAACATCAGAATGTACTTAATTAAAGTAATATATATATATAAAATTAAATAATGTTTTTACATTACTATTATTTAGTCAAAAATTGAGTATTCCATACTACTTATATAGTTATATTCCAATAGATCAATATTATTTATTTATTTATCTATCACAGTTTTCTGAAACATGTTGAAGGTGAAGAAAAAAAACTTATCTATTTATTTAATTATGAATGATGTAAATAAGTAAAAAAAATCTACTGTGGCTATTAGTATCTTTTTCCTCCCAGAATGTGTTATAGTACTAGGAATAGGAATCAGAAAGTCAGGCTACCTGTATTATTTAGTGGGTACTGTACATGATTACAGATGGAAGCAATTATAGTATCAGCCAAGAAAGACAAGTGAATGTCTCCTTAGAAAACGTGATTTTAGTAATGTTTCTCTAAAGGTGGTTCAGTCTACCCTTAGCACAAATACCTGGGTTGCCCATTGCAAACACTTTCCTCATCTTCACCCAGATCAATCAGAATCTCAGAGATTTTGATCAAAATAAATATCACTAAGGTAATAAAAATTCTTATCCTCTCAAGCTCAGAGTTTGATATGTCAGCTTGTTCAGATTTGATCTATCATTCTGATTTGCATTACTGTTCATCAGACTAAAGATTAGCATACAAAATTAGAAAGATAAAGAAATGTTAAGAGGATTTGCCAACAACATTGCATTTTTCCTTAGGTGTAAACCAAATAGTAAACCACCAATGAATTTCTTGGCAAGCCTGAAAATTAAAAGAGGATGAATAGTGTTTGCTTGTAAAGTATTACTAGATAGCTCATATGTCTATGTCAATAGTAGAGAGGAACAGCTTTGAAGAGAAAGTTCAACTTATATAGGCTTTTTTAGACAGAGAAATCAAAAGATTTGTTAATATAGCTGGGTACACCTGTAATCCCAGCAGCTCAGGAGGCTGAGGCAGGAGGATACAGAGTTCAAAGCCAGCCTCAGCAAAAGTGAGGTGCTAAGCAACTCACTGAGACCCTTGCTCTAAATAAAATACAAAATATGGCTGGGGATGTGGCTGTGGCTCAGTGGTGGAGTGCTCCTGAGTTCAATCCCTGGTTCAAAAAAAAATGTTAATGTAACAGCAATGCAAAAGATATAATGTGGGTGAATTTAATTCATTTTCAATTGATACATATTAATCACATAGGCTTTTTCTTATAGTCTGTGCTTAGATTGACAATGATCACTAGGTCTACATCATTTTAATAACTACATAATAATGTTAATGGTACATGAAGAGGCAACATCACTGCCATGCCATGTAGAAAAATTATTCTAAAGAGAAATGACAAGGAAAATGCAAAACACTATTCACATACCAGGTGGTCAAGTCTAGGATGTGCTTTATTTATCCACCAACCAGTATGAACAGAAAGCCTTAGTTATAAACAGTGTGAAATCATCCTAATATTTGTGTTAGCAAAGGTATCTTCCAACAAAAGAAGATTAGGGAGCTGAAACTTGTAAGTTCCTTATTTTTGAAGTATTTGAGGTTTTTGTTTTGCTATTACTGTGATAGATCTTTATGGATATTTAATGTAGCATTACTTTTGGTAAAATGGGATTTTAAAAAAAAAACAGGAAAACAACAAGCCACAGTGCAGACACACATATCCTTTAATACTAGTTTAATGGAGTTGAAAAAAAAAATGAATAAACATCTTAGCCCCAGTCATCTACACCACTTATTTCCTGCATGACCTGAATAAAGACAAGGTACCGATAAAAAGGATAGAGGAGTCAGGTGTTAGATTGCTTTTGGTTCCATTTTACCCTCTCAATTGGGAAAAAAAAATATTATATTTTCTGTAATGTTTTAAAATCCTGCTTCACACATTTAACTATAAACAAATTTATTTTAGAAGTTTCATATATTATTTTTTTCTTAAAAAAAATAAAATGTATACCTAAAATGAAATGAATGACAGGGTGTTTTTCTGGTCTGTTCATGTCTCCCTGGTGTGGTGTGGTTCCTAAGTACATGTGCGTGAATGGGCCGTACTAAAGTTCCCTGGAGCATGCTTGTTCCACCCTCTTCCGCTCTCCACTCACACACCTGTCCTTTTTCTGCAGATTTAAAATGCCCAAGCAGACTGCAGAAGTCACTCCACATTCTTTAGTGTGCTCTGGGGCACTAAGGGTCTGCAGAGCTTGTAAATCCCTTTCTCTGTACCAGAGATTGAACCCAGGGCACTTAACCACTGAGTCACATCCACAGTCCATTTCATTTTTTACTTTGGAACAGGGTCTTGCTAAGATGTTCAGAAACTATAAATTGCTTAGGTTGGCTTTGAACTTGAGATCCGCCTGCCTTAACCTCCCAAGTTGCTGGGATTACAGATGTGCACCACTACATGGCTTACCTTCATTTCTTAAGGGAATGAAAGAGAGAGAGAGAGAGAGAGAGAGAGAGAGAGAGAGAGAGAGAGAGAGAGAAAGAAAGAAAGACTTTACATATATGAGTAAAGAGTAAGATACAATATACTCATATGCAATATTTGAGTAAAAGTCATTTATTATATATTCATAGGTAGTATAATTGAACATACATATCATCACAAAGATCTTAAAACTCCAAGATTATTCTTCATATTTTTTGGGAATAAAACTTCAGATGCTTCTTTCCCATTCAAAGCTTAGAAAATTCAGTCTTTGGGAGAAAAACACAATTGAAGCTCTTTAAAAACAGCTATTAAGTATAAGAAATGAAGAGTTTTGAATAGGAAATAAAATTGGCATTAATGATTTGAGTAAGGTCATATAGAATGATTGTAAGTTTTGGTTTTATCCATTCATCTGTTGATGGGCACCTAAGCTGGTTCTATAACTTGGCTATTATGAATTGCACCTCTATAAATATTGGTATGCCTATATTAGTATAGTATACTGATTTTAGTTCTTTGAAGTAGGACAGAAGAAGCTGGACAACCAAGAAATTTTCAGGAAGCAGGTTTATCGACTGCAGTTGGTCCAGAGAGGTTATCACCTAAGATTCTCTGGACCAAGAGAATTTGGTCCATCAAGAGCTATGTAATGTTTTGAACAACTAATAATAACAATAAAAAAAGAGAATTTGGTCTAAATTTGAGAGTAAAAACTTAAGAGAACAGAATGATGGTTGATAGGCTACACTTATTGGCAGAAATTTGGAAATTCTCTGAACTTTATATCCAGTGGGAGGAGGGGTTTAGAAGTTTACATAAAAATAATTTTTTCTTTGAGTTCCCAGAAAGTGCTTTTTGAACCAGACAGAGATCTTATAAATCTTTACCAAGATAAGAGAGAGAATATCTTTTTGCACAACAACCTTGACTGGAGATTCTAAATCTATCATACCTTTTGTATGCAAACCTGGCATTTATAAGAAAGAGGAAGCTTCAAACTACAATTCCCTTTGCAGACATTCTGCTGATACTCTTTGTAAAAATCTGATGAGAGGAGAAGCTTAATTATGGCCAGAGTCTTCTGGGTGGGGGTCTCTGTTCTAATTCACGTTTGGATAAGTACCAAGGAGGGAGATAGCTGGGACATTGGCAGTTCCATTCTTGGCCCTTTGAGGAATCTCCACACTGCTTTCCAAAGTGGTTAAACTAATTTGCAGGCTTATGAGGAATGGTAAGTGAACCTTTACTTCACATCCTCTGCAGTAATTATTGCTATATGTACTCTTAACGATTTCCACTCTAACTGGAGTGAGTTGAAATCTCAGTGTAGTTTTGATTTGACTTACACTGATTATGAGGGTATTCTTACACAATGAAGTTTCACTCAGTCATAAAGAAGAATGAAATTATGTCATTTGCTGGTAGAGGGATGGCAATGAAGAATATCATGCTAAGTGAAATAAGCCAGACTCAGATGTTGGAGGCTGAATGTCTCCTTTCTTGCAGAAATTAGAAAGAAATAAGGGGAAGAACAAGAAGTGGAAGATAGCATGACAAAAAGGAGAAGAGTAGAATAAAGGAAGGAGATTAAGGGGAAGGAAAGAGGGTTATGTAAGGCAAGCAGTTGTGGAAAGAAATTCACAAATATGTGCATACAGGAATACCTCAAAATGAATTCCACTTTTATGAATACCTATAATGCACCAATTAAAAAAAATAGATAAACAGAAGGAAAACCAGTACAATATAGGAAAGGGATCAGAGAGAAGGAAAGAAGGGACAGGAAAACTCTGGGGATTGGGATTGAGGACCTATGTTATATACATATTTATTTTATGTCAAAATGAACCCTACTGTTATGAACAACTCCAGTGACCTAATAACAACATAAAAAGATCAACTGATTAATCCTGTTGAGTTGAACCCTATGTAACGGATACTTAATAAATGGAATTTAGACAAGAGAGGCATGGAGATTTGAGAGTAAAAACTTAAGAGAACAGAATGATGATTGATAGGTTACCCTTATTGGAATAAATTTGGAAATGTGATTTTTCAACAATAAAAATGGTAGATGGCAATCACTCACTTTCTTATCATTTTTTGCCTTTGTTTCTTTATCACCAGTAAAAAAATTTTAAATCCATGAGAATTTTTAAGACTATTTGCATTATTTTTTCTTTGCTCTACAATATCACCCATATGATTTTTTTTAAAAATGTAATTTCTAGTTTTACATTTACAAGTTTAGGAAATTTTTTTTTCTGCATTCCAGGAAAAACATAAAGATTAAGAGAGGAGCTAAAACAAATAGCTTGGCAAACCCTAAATTATTGGTTAATGAGCTTTACAACAAAAGGTTTTCCCAAATGGTCAGGAAGCCAAGAAATAAAAAGCAAATCAATATGCTAGCAGAATGGGCTGATGATACTGGAGTGTAAAACCAGTATTTTTAATTTTGACACTGAGTCTTGCTAAATTGCTCAGACCAGCCTCAAACTTGTGATCCTCCTGCCTCAGCTTCCAGAGTAGCTGGGATTAGTCAAAGGCCACTGCATCTTGTTTGAAGGTCTTAACTTTTCACACACCTTTCACTTGAATAAAATACTATTTTATAAAAGGTCATATGAAGTCATACAAGAAATAATAAGTTTAGTTAAAAAAGAAAAAGTTGCAATGCATACCCATATGCTCTTCAGTTATCTGAGGGTAGCAATGTGCCACATTGCATTCACATGATCTATCTTTATATATAGACAGACTCCCATACATGTGGTATTAGTGGCAGTCATAGTTTTTAAATTTTTTATATTTTGTACTTGTCTGAGGACACACCGTTATTAAAGTCTCAATTCTAAAAACTAAATAAATCCATATTTGTATTTTCTAAATACCTATATTTTATATAAATTGAATATTTTGAATTTCCTGAATTTTTAATAATAAGAGAACCATTTAGTAGATCATAGTAAATAGACTGCCTGTATGCATTTGGGAAAATTTTGTAGCCTACAATACACCATGTTAGTTCTGAATCAAAAACAAAAGAACATGTGAAAATGGCACATAAAGTGCACATTATTGACCCTACATATTTTATATTTCAAGATGTGCTTTGATAAGTTCCAAACAAGGACATAAAAATTTAATTTAAAAGTAATTAACATACACACACAAATATACACATACACTGAAACAGCTACACAATTTGTATGGTTTAGAAGAAAACTTTCAACACACACATGGGCTCCAAATGACCTACTCTGGATGGATATACTCATTTAATTTTAAAAAGGAAATGCAGGAAGAGGATCATTTTTCTTTTTGATTACATGTAAAACTACACGTAGGTTACTATACTTCTGGCTGCACTATTCTCTGTAACTAATTGTTTCCTCATTATATTGACTTTTTTGTAACCATTATTTGCCCAAAGAATATCCTCAGCTCATTCACATATTCAAAAGATAAAGCATCACTGTCACTTGCCTTATTTCAGAGCTGACTACACATATTTCATTATGTGTTTCAATCATTCTTCCATTATCCTTTTACCAATTCCTTTTTCGCTACTTCCACAGCAGTTGTTTTGGCATAGCTATAACTTAAGTAAAATCTCTGTGTCTTTGTTGCTATTTAATATTGAGGATGGATAATAGAAGGATCCTAGATTAGATGGTCTATTTATGAGACGTCTTAAATCCATGTCTTGAAAAGTCTAAAGGAATGCCATTGCTCTTTAAGATGGACTTAAATAAGAGTAACTGTGGGTGTATTCAAGTTATAGTTCCGTTGTTCTTAAACATTACAACTGAAAATTTTCACATTGAGAGACTATGGTTCCATAGGCTCACATGGGACCTTACAATTAACTTTTGCAACTGCTTCAAGGCAATTTTCATGCAGGTATTCCATGAACTATAATTTGAAAATGAGGCCTACTGCACATAGTCACCAAACCACATGCACTATACCAGATCTCCTCAAACCTCAATGCACACAGGAATCACGAGGTTTTTCCATAAGTTGTGGATTACATATTGAGTGGGTCTGGATGATGGTGCTACTGGATCTTAGACTGCACTTTGAGTTCTTGGAAGCCAGTATTCACGTAGGTGAAGGTATCAATGGCATCTTCTGGGCTGTGGTCTAAAAGTTTCAGACCCATGGAAAAAAATTCCACAGTCTGTTCATGGGCTGGGTTTCTTTTGCCTTTATAACTGAATTAATTTTTCAGTAAGTATTCTACAGTGATAGAGAAAAACTGATAATTTGAATTTGTAAAATGATTGGAGTTGAATTTTAATCAATTTTTCCAATCATGGTCTTACAAAATTACTAAATAATTCAGAGGCACTGGGAATAAGCTATTATATTAGCTTAATAAGGCTGCCAACACCAAATATCATGGTCCAGGTGCCATAAATAATGGAAATTATTTTTTTCACACTTCTGAAGGTTAGAAATCCAAGACCAGGTTTCAGTAGGTTTGTTGTTTTTGAGGCCTCTCTTCTTGGCTTTCAGATGTCTGCCTTCTTGCTGGGTCTTCACATGGCCTTTCCTCTGATTGAAATTTCAAACCACAGTGTATCTTAATGTCACTGAAATTGGAGTATTGGAGTATTAAATTAAACAAGCAGGTGCCAATTAGATTGGGGTTGTCTCCTTTGAGATTCTGCAAAGCATACTACAACCTAACTTAGTGTGTAAGCAAAACCTAACTTGAAGTATAACAAACAGCAGTTTCAGCCAATCACAGGCAGCCAACTCATCACACCATTGCATCCAATGTGGTGATTTCTCTACTTTGCCCATGGTTGTCCTATAAGCACTCCCACCTCTGGCTGGTGGGTGAGTTCTCTGATCTTGTTCTGGTTCTGAGTCTACCTGGTTCACGAATCTACTGTTAGCACAAATAATCTCTGTTAAATTTAAATTGTTTAAAGTTTTCCTTTTAACAGGATATAAGACCTTTTAGAAGGTTATTAAGTTAAATTGAGGCTATTAGTATGGTCCCTAATCCAATCCAACTGGTATCCTTATAAAGAAGAGAAAATTGCACGTGAGAAGTCACTAGAGGAGGATGTTCACAGAAGGACAATTGTATGAAGAGGTGGTAGCAAGAGGGCCTCCATCCACAAACTAAGAGGGACTCAGAGGAAAGTTACCCCGTGAGCTCTAGATCTTGGAGCTCTAGTTTTCTCAGCTATGAGGATGTAAGCTTCTGTTGTTTAGCCACCCAGTCTATGGGTTATTGTTATGGCTGCCCTAGAAAACTAATATACACTGATTATGTCTATAAATAATAAAAATCAAAATAGGACATTTTAAAAAGCACACAGATCTTTTATCTTCTTCCATATCCAGTGAAGCACATTGGGTGCATCTTTTTTCATATCACCCAAAGAAGAATTTCTAAATATAAGCTCACGTGCTGTTGAATGTATTCAGTATAAGTTATTGCATCTCAAACACAGGCTGAAGAACAGACTACTCAGAAAGAAACTTCAAAAGTTTTTCCCCCCTCTAAAGATCCTGTAGAGTTTTAAATCACCACTGAGAAATAATCGATTCATCAGTAATGAATTTCAAATATTCATTAAAACAGATATAAATTACAAACATTAGAAGGCTCTGACATGCAAAAATAAGCCTTACCTTTGTTTTGGGTTCTAGAATTTTTACTCCATAAATTGATATTTGCAACTCAACTTTAGGAATTTTCTGGCCTTCAGATTTCTTGATGTGTCTCGCAAACTACAAATAAAAATTATTCATAAAAAACTTAATTCTGTTTTTGTGGAGAATGAACACAAATACACAAATTTTTATTCAATGTCAGATTTTCATTAAATGAATTATTGCCCATTATAAAGCATTTTGTAAAAATAATCTCAAAGTATTTAGTAATCTCAGCACTTTACCATTATAATTCAGATTAGTTTTCAGTAACTTTATTAAAACATGATTTTTAATGTACTTCTTTCATGATATTTGGAAAATTGAATTCATACCAAACAATTGAGAAAACTTCATTGATAAACAGAGATAATTTTGCTTTCCTGTGGATCCTTTGCTTTTAATAGCTTGAGAGAACTTGTAGTTCACCAACTGTTGAATATGCCATCTTTGTTATTGCTAGATAGTTACGTAGTTTGGTGCACTACCCTACCCAATACCAAATTATTGAACAAAAAGAGATGCTGCTATATCACAGTCAAAGCTAAGAACTGAGGTAAGTACCAGCTAAAACACTGATATGTAGATCTAGATTCAGTTTAGAATTATAAGCATAGTGAACAGCTAGAAAACAATTTTCACAATTTTTTTTGTACCAGGTATTGAACCCAGGGCCTTATATGTACAAGGCAAGTGCTCTACCACTAAGCTACATCCTCAGTCCAAGAAATATTTTTAAGTGCTTTCAGAATAGTATGTATTATATATTCGTACTGAATTAGTTAAGTGTATATAAATGTATGTTAGATTCTACTCTAAAATCAAAAAGAAATATCAGAATACTCATTTACTTAGTAGATGCAGTTTCTATTACCTAATTTCTTCCAGCTTTACCAGATTTATTGGTGGAAAAATTACAGGAACCCAGTTAAATGTGAATATTAAATAGTGCATACATTTTAGAACTTTGAGAATACATACACACACTCATACACATATCCAAAAACACAAATAAACAAATATGCTATTAAGTATAAATATTTTTAGGCAATAATTTAGAACACACTGGTGTTTTAAAAAAGTTATTCATTATTTATCTGAAATTCAAAATTTATTGGGTGTTCTGATTCATCTGGCAACCTCACTGTCTCATTCCTTTCTTTCTCACCTTGGCCCCTTAACCTTTCTTTCTAAGAAAAGGATGAGATTTTTAAAAATAGGTTTTTTCACCCCTCTTCTAGGGCTTCTAAAAGTTATTTTCTAGTTTAACATTTTTTCAGCATCTGGATACTCTTCCTAATTGACTCAAAATAGATCATCTGTAAGGCCAGGCAGAGCTCCAGTCCTCTTTGTGTCATATTTATTTGCATTGCGCACTTCACCCTAATTTAGGGCAGATGTGAATACACATGGTATGCTTCAGTCCTGGAGCAGGGAGTGGTTAAAAGCCTTTTTCTCTGTGCACAGCTTTGCACTGCCATGGAGAGTAACATAATTAATGCATATATGAATGCCTTGAAATGTCTGCCTTCTTATCCCAGGGGGTACCTTTTGTTTTTTTTCCTTGTTAGGTGGTGTGACTGTTCAGCTTACTGACTTTCCTGTTCTTTGGATGTAACCTGCTCTTTCTTTTCGCTTTTTCTGCGTCTGGCAGGCTCACATTCTACACATGAATCAACTAACTTATGCCAGAGAATTTTCTTTTTTGTCTTTAAGAAACGTGTTTCTCTTTAATGAAGATCAAAAATTCTTCCAGAACTCTCCTAAAGAATGTGCATTAATTTTCTTTTCCCTTCACCATTTCCTACGTAAATTGGCATCATCAAACAATTCAGGAGTTTTCACATATAAAAGCTTACAAAACTAATCAGCTGCTCTGCGTCTATGTGGAGGCATCTGTCTAAGCAAAGCAAGTCCCAACTGCTGGCTGTGGAACCATTTATTCTACTTGCTTCCTCCCTCCTGTTTTCTCCAAACACAGTTACAGTGGCTCCCCAGGCCTCTTCCACATCTGGACACAACCATCCCTCTGACCTCTGATGAGAATTGTGCAACTTTTTAATTTGTAAAACGTCCACCACAAAACGAACAGTAATATTAAACTTAGCTGTCAGTAAGGCAGAAAAAGAAGAATGGAAGAAAGGAAGGAAGCAAGCAAGCAGGGCCTGATGGTAGACAGATAGACACACACACACACACACACACACATACGAGGGGTGAGAAGGAAGAAAGGCAGGGAGGAAAGGAAGGAGAGAGCATAAAACAGAAAACATCTGCTTCCAAGTTCCTGAATCTTTCTCTCTGCTTCACATCAAGATAAGAAATGGTAGTCACAGCAGCTTCAGAGATCATCCAACCCAATCTTACCATTTCAAAAATGAGAAAAGTCCCTGAGAAGTTATGTAACTTGGTCATGAAACGGGTTTGTAGCAACTAAGCATAGAACCTACCTTTCCAGATGGGCACCCAACTACCCTTCTTGTTAGTGCACGTTTTCTGCATTTAAAAAATAAAATTCACAGCTCTGTTTTCATGTATACCAAGGTTTATACTGGTTATTGGGCTTGATTGATGAAAATATGTTACAAAACCCTTAGGCTTAAGAGTTTTTCAACTTCTATTCTAAACAGTCTAATATTCTCCTTCCTGTTTCCTTTTTCCTAAAACTTAAGCTTCCTGTGTTCTACACTGTGCATATTCCCCTCTGACTCTCCTCCTTTTTTCCTACTTGTAGACTTCTTAATTGTGCTCCCAAGTATTTCTAAGTTTGAAGTGTCAGAAGACATTGAAAGACATGCTGATAAATCCATCTTACATTAAATTCTTCCCCCCATTTACTGTTTTAATGTTGATTCTTGAAGAGTGATTTTGCCATTTCTTTTCATTATTTCTTCAGTGGGTTTGCTTCTTGGTAGAGCTAGCTAGATAGAAGGATCTACCACTAAAACTTAATATGATAATCTAATATAAACAGTCAAAGGGGATGAGGCTTACACATACTGAATATTATCTGGACACAACAAAAACACAACAAAACCTTTTTCATCAAAAAAACAATGAGAAATGATGAAGTTTTGCTTGAAATGTATGAAGTACTTAGTTAAATATATATTACTAAGTAGAACTGCTAAAGAAAATTTAAAGGGAGCCCTGAGTTTCAATGTCACCCTTACAGAATTTCTATTTCTCAAAAGACTTTTTAAAAAGTGAAATTTTAACCATATTACTAATGAAACATGCACTTTGTGGCAAGAAAAATCAGTTTATACTTTGAGCCTATTATTCTGAGTTACTATTCACTTCTGTTGTTTGTTATATTTAAATTATTAAAGTATTCATAATAATTGAGTGGGGAAATCAGCTATGTTTGTATATAATATGATGAATCTAGTATTTAAATCTAGTATTTAACTAATAAAATACTATTTTATTAGTTAAATACTAGTTGCAAAGATAAAACAGTTATGCTGCACAGAAAGAGTGAGGTTGAATTGAAAAACTGCTGGGTTGAGATTAACAGGTTTCCACAGTGAATCCCAAAGGCCATATTATCTTGAAGTAATTTCATATAATATCAGTGCAGCTCCACCAAAATGAGGATTTTTCCTCTAAAACTGGGACTCAGGAATGCCACTCCATGGTTATCTCCTAGGAAAACTGACAAGTTTTGAATCTGTATTTCAGTACTTATTCATAAATAAACATTATAAATTGTTTATGAAATATGAGACCTCTGATATTTATGCTAGTTGTGTTAACAAAACAACTAGATAAATCACTATTGAAAATGTAATTCAGTATAATAACAAAAATAATTATATAAGTAAACACATAGAAACTGAAAGGGTTTTAAATTATTATATTTCAAAATATTTGGAATATTTTGAAATCTCAGGCTAAAAAACAATTAAGAAATAGAAATTACATGATTAAGAAATAGAAAGTATGTTGTATTCATAAATACAGCTTCCAAAAGTAAAGACTCCAATACTTTAACAAAAATTATTACATTTAAGAACAACTTACGAAGTCTAAATCTTCATTGACATAAAATTCTATATAAGAAATTGATTAAAATTTTTCAAAAACTAAGCAGATGTTATGAAACAAAGAAACATGAAAAATAGATTATTAAAATCCTTAGTTTTGATCAGCTTGAATTAAATTTAGAATTCTTATTTAATGTTAGAAGGCAATATATTTAACATCGCAAACTTTTGAAAAATAAGTAAATATAAATAAAACGATACCTTATGTATCAAATGCAGTCAAATCCTAAACTACAACAGATTTCAAAAATCAGTCAGAGTATGTATGTTTGAGAAAAACAAGCAAGAAATTAAAATGGGGCTGTTTATAAAAGGCAGTTAAGCAAAATTTTTTGGTAGAGTCATAGCACCACCTGCTGGCATTTACATGTCAACAAAATTTAAGTCAACAGGATCAACTTTTTAAAAATAAGTGCAAATATCTTTGGTATAATTTGAATTGTAGCTCTGACCTCAAATATAGATAAATTAAAACTTACAATAAAATAGTTCAAATTTATTGTTTTATTCATTATCATTAATGTATGAATCTTTACCCTTTGGTACACTTTCCTGAGATACAAACTTTTTGAAATCAACAAAGTAAAGATTACTTATTAAGCATACAATTGTTCTTGAAGACACTCGAGAGACAAAAGCTACTATCAATTAGGTATACATTTTAAAACTACACTACATAATTTTTATCTTATTGTAAATCCTATTCATTCAAGCATGTGAAGAAAGAAGTAATACATAGGTATTTTTAACAAGATAAAGATGAGAAGTCTGTTGAAACAGTTTTTCTGATTTTAAAATCTCAGTGAGAACAGTATGCAGATGAGAAGCAATTAGATAAACATGTAGTGTGACATCTTATATAATATTGTTCTAAGGAAATATCAATTATGAATATGTGGAATTACTTCTGATTTTCTCGGGAAACTTGTTGATTATGAATGTACAGTTTTGCTTAGATTTTCTCAGGAATCTTGTTGATGTTGAGTCTATGGGGCCTCTATTTAATGTCCTCCTCTACCCTCTGATTCTTACCAGTTCCTCTATGGCTGCTCATGGGCAAGGCCTAATCTCTTATATTTGCATAATATACAGGGTCACTACAAAATTCTGCTTTGCAATCACCTCTAAGTGCATATTGCTGACTGGTGGATATGGATTGCAATATATATTTTTTTCTTTCTAGAATTTTTTATTAATTTTTTGTTTATATATGACAATAGAATGCATTACAATTCTTATTACATATATAGAGTACAATTTTTCATATCTCTGTATACAGAGTATATTCACACCAATTCGTGTCTTTATACATGTACTTAGGATAATAATGTCCATCACATTCCACCATCATTAATAACTCCATACCTCCTTCCCTTCCCCTTTGCCCTATTCTCTATTCCTCCCACTCCATCTCTCCCTACCCCACTATGAATCAGCCTTGGATTGCTATATTATTGCCAGTTTTTGAGTGAGGGCATTGTCCAAGCAAAGTGAAGTCACGCCACTATATGTCGACTCTTATGAAATACTACCACTAAAGATTTTAGGGATTATGAGAAATTAACACTGTACAAAATACAATATGCTGTATAAAGAACAATAATTGTGTGTACATATTTATTATTTAAAAATGTCTCCTTGGTCTGATGGTATTTATTCAATAGCTAATTTTTACCAGTGAGAAGCTATCCCTGCCACAAAACATTTTCTGTTTTTATTTCCATCAATCTGTGATAACATGACAGGTTCCACACACACAAGGCATTAATTAAAGGAGTTTCCTTACCTTTAGTTTCCTTACAGCATCTCTCACAACTTCTGTTCCTTTTGGCTGCTCCACTTCTGTGCTGCCAAGAAACTGAAAATGGTCATTTGTGAGAACACGTGCTATTCCATGTCATTTATCACCAGGACACTGTGAACTACAGCACTGCACAACTGAATGGTTTCATAGAATGCAAACTTAAGTCCTAATTAAGTAGAAGAACCATCAATTAATTTCTACTATTTTCAAAACATATGAAAACATAAATATATTACTTGAGCATTTGTAATTCCTATTATTCAGACTTTAATAAAAAAAGACTTTTTTTACATATTTCATTTTCAAATGATTACTAGAAAGAAAGCAAACTGATGATTGGGTCCAAAGGAATACAGTTGATCTCAACATTAAAAATTTAGTAAGTATTAACAATTAAAAATTTTCTAAAAATTCAAAGCACATAAATATTTTTATTTGTTACTACAGCTAAACTTTGATATATTTCAGATTATAATTTCACTATATTTTTCCTTATTGTCCAACCATGAAACTCATACAGCATGTAGTGTTTAAAAGAAAAAAGTTTTTAAAGTCCAACATATATTATTCAGTAAGCTATATCTGGGTTTGACTTTTAAAAAGCACACAATTTATAATTTAACTGTTTCAAAATGACCCTGAAGGCAATCACGGAGAGTGTTAGGTTAAATTTAATGAGTCTCCAAAAAGAAAAGGTTTCCTAATAATTATCATATTTTGATAAAAATCTCTACCCTGGAGAGAATTAGGTCCTCCTAAATGGAGTCCATCATCATAAGATGCCCAAGACCAATCAGATGAAATATGTAAGTTTTATTCTAGAAAATATTTCTATGAAATTGCACAGAATTATTAAATTCATGAAGTATATAGTTTCCCAAAGGCTGGTTTCCCTCTTGTCACATACCACCAACTAGAACACCATTGCCATCACGAATCTACCACTGCTCATATGTGTGCACCAGATTTCCATTAAGTGATTAAGGGGATGGATATGTGGGCATTTCCAAAGTCGAAGGGAATGATATAGTAAAGTCACAGTATTTCTCATTCTTCCCTCCACTCTTGAAAAAATAGCAAATTCATTAAGAGTCTCAGTTTTTTGAAATGAGCGTTCTGTGTTACCCAGGAAGCAAGTTAAAAAGTAAAAATACAGATTTTTTTGGACAAATAATCCACAAATTTTAGGGTAGCACTAGGAACTTATTTATCTAAAAGCATTGTAATTGATGGCTTGAGCTGAAATCTGTTAGGCAAAATTTGAAATCAGCGAACAAATTATGAGGATAGTTGAAAGTAGATAAAAAGGGTAAATTGAAAATACAGATGATTGCTGTTCCTGAGAACCTAAGCTGGGTTGCCCTGAGGCAAAGTGAAGTCTTGCTTCTTAGGTTCTATAAGGTACAAAGTTTCTTTTTCTAATAAGTTCAGATTCTACCTAACAAATTCTACTGGGGCTTAGGTAAGATATGTCAGGCACTGTGACCCACTGTGACCTAAAGATGTTGGTGGACCAGGCATATATAAAATACCAAAATGAATGAGAAATACTCACCTTAAAAGGAATTGAAAACCTGTCCCCTCTCACCAGTGAGTCTGCTCATTTCCTGTGTTTTTTTATAAGTGTTTTCAACTCTGGCTTCAATACAGATTCACAGGAGGAGATTTAAACTATTATCAATGCCTACAAGTCTGATTCAACAGATAACATCTGTATGTTTTCCAGCTCCCAAGGTGATTTTAATGTGCTGACAGTTTGAAAAGCAAGGATAAAGGGTTCAAGTTACAGAGGAGAATGTAAGGCAAGAGGAGCTATTTAGCTGAGAGGAAATCCATGGGGTAGACTCTTCTCTACTTCTCTGAATTGATCAAAGCACTGAGAGACAAGTAGCTCCATCCTCAGCCCTTATTATTATTTATTTTGAGATAGGGTCTTGCTAAGTTGTTGAGACTGTCCTTGAATTTGCCATCCTCCTGTCTCAGCTCTCAAGTAGGTGGAATTACAGGTGTGTGCCACACTGAGCAAAAGCATATTCTTTATGGATAAATTATACGTGTACTGAAGAAGAAAGGATCTGAAGTATTAGTGACAGTCTATAAGAGTAACTGGAAATATCTTTGGAAAAAGATTCATAATTTGGCAGAAATGTTGAGTCATTAAGTATTATATGCAAATAGGACCACATGGGAAAATTATGGAAGAACTCCAAGGATAGTCTAAATGAATCTACCTCTAGCAGTGCTCTAGGAACTTTTTAATATATTTCTTTCACACTGGCTTTAATTAAACCGAGTAAGAAATAAAACAGTGGTAGAAGCCTTGAATGATGGTAGAGTTAAACTAAAAGACACTTTAATATGAACTTGCTACTTGACCCAGCTTTTTCTTATGTAATTAGTAAATAATTTTAAAATTGAAAAAAAGGTCTACCCTTTATATTTCTTGCATATTTTTAAATTATAAAAGTCATAATTATTCTTTCTCAGTAAACAACTCATATATACATGCATCTAATTTCTACATAAAATATTTATAAAACTTAAATATGATGTATCTGTGCTAGAATGAGCTCTAGGCTCAGAATCTGAAGACATTAGAAAATTACTTAATCTCTGTCTTATATGACTCTTTTGAAAAATACAGATAATAATACACTTCTCATAAAATCATTTCAAAGAGCAACTGAATAGGAAAAGGAAACACACTATAAACAGTGACATGTTTTATAATTATGAGGAATTACCATTCCTTTATTTAATGATGGTCTGGGAAGACACAAAGATTTAATGGACACAGTTCTGTCTGCTCAGCTTTTCTGGGATCAATGTCATCAGCTCACGGACTCCTCCTCCAGCTTGCCTGTGCTTTGCCAGTACTGACTCACGTGCAAGCCCTTCAGAGTGTTCTAGTTAGGCAATGAAGTCCACTTGCCAGTACTGAGAGCTAGAAGCACCTGGGAGATTTTTGCACTGCTCCCATCCTCCTCCCATATCATCACATTCCTTAGCCAACCTCTGACTTAGTCAGGGGGTAGAAAAACCTTCCTCCTTTGCCTGGAGGCATAAAGGTGTGATGCAGAGCTTCCCTGGGACTCAGGATGAGTAAGCTTCCCCCATGCATACTCTTCTGTGCTATCCTGCTTACGTTCCTCTGTCTTTCCTGATTTTGTATTGATTTCACTGGGAGCACTCTCTTCACAAAGCACAGACACCTAAATCTTTAATTTGGGCTCAAATTCTGGGGCTTCCAGCCACTGGTTAAATGTTTTAAATGCTTACATTTCAGAAACATACCACCTTGTACACAATGCCACAAACAACTAAAATTTACTGTCCTAAGTGCTACTGAAGGCTTGTACAAAGCACACAGGTGGGACTGAAGACTGGTTTTCATCATTTCTACTCTGCGTGGTACCTGAATGGTGGAGGGAAAAAAACTGAACTGAATCATGCCAGGGCCAATGAATTCAGTCACCCCTTCTCCATAGAAGAGGTGTCAACTAAACCAGGTCAGCGGAACTGCAGACTGCACCATGCTAGGCATGGCTAAGAGATGAAATGAGGTGCCTACCATGTTAGGCAGAAGTGCATATGCTGTGTGGATCACCTGACTCTCTTCCTTTGCCCATGTTCTAGGATACCAGGTGTCAGTCTTATAAGTCTCTAGGGAGGAGAATTCTTCCTTAGTGAAAGTGGCCCAAGAAAAATAACACAACCTATGCTGACAGCTGAGGTTCCTACGTGGAATAGATGGGTCACCTGATCAATCACCAACCGACAATCCCTGCCCAAGCACATGTCACTCAAGTTGGCTTTTGAAGGTCTCAGTCTTAAATAGAAAGCACAGCAAGTATGTGAATATATTTTAGAAAACCCTCTCCCCTGAAGAACTGCTAAGAAAACAAACAAGAGCAAAAAGAATGAGAAAGAAGGAAAAAGAAGTCAGAGAAGAAAACAAGATTGTTAAAACTCTAAAATCAATCTAATGTATTGAATTCATGATAAAAGGAAATAAGACACTCAGAAAAGCAGCATTTAGAGAACAAAAGAGAGACCATAGAAATTAAAAATGTGACTTAGATGATTTTTAAAAGTAGTAAGAATACTGTAAGATAAAGTTGAAGAATTTCATCAAGGAATAATTATTGGATGCTTACTATTTTTTCAAGTAATATCCTGGGAGTTGAGACTATAGCAGAGAAGAAACCAGAGTAAATTCCACGACTGTGAGACTTACATGTTAGTGGGGCAGAAGAGCAACAAATGAGATCATACAAATAAGTAAATGGTATGGTGCTCTAGAAGTATTCTGGAAAGAGGGCAAAATGAAGGGGCTGAAGCTCAAAGCAAGTGGGTGTGTCTGTGGGTCTGGTGCCTGCTGTGTCATTTTAGAAGATTGGAGGAGACCTTCCTGACAGGGTCAAACAATCCAACGAGAAAGGGTGCAATTCAGCTAGAAATTTGAGTAAGGCAGAGACGGAAAAAGGAATAAAATTATGAAAGTCAGATATTGATATGGAAGAGAAAATGAAACACAGATGCTACTGAATCAGAAACTCTGATTCTACTTGCATCTATGGAATTCAGAAACTGAATTCTACTCAATCAGAAATTCAGGAGCTGGGCCCCAGAAAACAGTTTCAATGTGCCCCAGGTGATCCTCATGTATGCTTAAATTTGAGAACCACTGTGGAAGGAAATCCAACATCAAATTATACAGTGTTCTAGAAAGAGAACTGAAAAACCTGAGGAAGAAAATTCCCAGCTTTCCAAGAATCAAATCTATGCATTCCAGATTAAAGAATGGTTACATCAAATTAAAGAATGGTTACACTTCTATGTAAAAATACATAGAAACACAAACAGGCTCATCATCAATACACTGGGGATAAAGATCAGAAAATTCCAGAGAGAAACAATACGTATAAATGACAGCAGACTTCTTCAGGACAGCAACAGTGGAAAAAAAATGACTGAATTCTGAAGAAGAAAAAATGATTTGAGCCAAGTTTTGAGTCTATGAGGAAAAAACCCAAAATCATACTGATAGGTGC